AGGCTGCATATAGAACGAATGCACCGGGTGGAAGAGAACGACAAACTTTTCATTCAATGTAACTGTTATTCGGCTGTTGTGAACATTTTCACTCGCGTAAACACAAAGGATTTTCGACTGGCTTTTGAAGGCTGGTACAACCGCCAGATCCCGCTACACGTCATATCGTTGTTTTGCTTCCTCAGCCTGATGTCCATCAGCCTGAACACGCCGGTGACATTTCGTGATTACAAATTCCTTCGGTTCGTCACGTATGGTGTAGACGTTGTGGCGACACTGATCTTTACGCTGGAGGCCGCGGTAAAAATGCAGCATCGAGGAATTCTGAGGGTAAGTGCTTGGAGTCAAAATTTTAGCGTAGCGTTCTACTGAAATGCACATTAAGGACAGCCGGAGTTACTTGCACGACCGATGGTGCCAATTTGACTTCATAATGCTGATTTCACATTGGATCTCCATAGCAACTCAGGCAGTCGATTTGGTGCCGTTCATCATTCACGGCCCATCGTACGAATACGATGACGAAAACTATCCGTCGATCAAATGGCTTGGCATCCTTCGTTCCCCAAGACCACTGATCATGGTGCGCCTGATACGTTCACTGCTCAAAATCCAATTGCCAAAAAATCGGATCAATCAGATATTCAAGTATTATTTATACCGTTTTGCATATTTAACTTTTCGCGTGAACGTGTTTAGACGGTCGAGTCAACAAGTGTACAATGTTACCATATTCTTCCTGTTCTTCATGTCTCTGTATGGAATTCTAGGCGTTCAGTTTTTTGGAAGGATGGACTACCACTGCGTCAGAAACGGCACCGACCCAAAGTAGGTCCAGAATTTGTTTGTTCGTTCTGTTAACCAAAAACCAAAACTTCTGGTACCATAATGTGAACAAGTTTAGCAAGTATCGCAGTCAAGTGCACAACCACTCACTCGACATCCAGTTCTTGGCATTCTGCCGCATACAGTAAAACATTTTAAACGTCATGTAAAATAAAAAAATCTTCGCAAGGAACA